CCTAACTGTCAGGGTGGTTAAACACTGGAATAAATTGCCTAGGGAGGTTGTGGAATCTCCATCTCTGGAGATATTTAAGAGTAGGTTAGATAAATGTCTATCAGGGATGGTCTAGACAGTATTTGGTCCTGCCATGCGGGCAGGGGACTGGACTCGATGACCTCTCGAGGTCCCTTTCAGTCCTAGAATCTATGAATCAACAACAAAGATATACTGCAAAAAACATTGTGATAAATATAGTGCTAAATTTCCTTAGTCATTGTATGGAAGGAGTCACAACAGAAAAGGAGCACACTGTGCTCCCAATGCTGAAAGGAGTTGGCCATGGAACCATGTTGAAACCACACTATTGCACAAAAACATCAAAAAAAGTGTGCAGAATTTGGGCAACTCATACCTTCAGATTCTCAGCTTTGCATGTATGATGGAGGCTAAGCGCCAGCCCTCCCCTTTCCCTTCCACATTTGGCCTGGCTCACTTAACTATGGTGATGATGCAAAGCTTGACTAAAAAGTGTGACTTCAGAGTTTTCCACAAAATTATTCTTCTTTTATAGAGAAAGAAAGCATAAGCTCTACATATGTGCACTAATATTAAAGAGCTACCACCAATATAAACACTGAAAAAACATTAACAGCAGCAATGAAAGACATTAACTAGGCCAAATTACACCTACGTAATGTTGTGTGGGGACTCTACATTTTGAGCTACTTAATTTTCACAGAGGGAGGGTATTACCTCTTTGAATTTTTATTAATTTTTGTCTGATTTTTAAATATATGGGGGCAGTATAAATAGAACAAAAAACCTATCAAATTTATCATAGTCTGGAATATATACACTGATGCTACAATACTGTGAAAAGATAATAAAGAAGAGTATGTGTGTAGTCAATTCCTTCTCTTAAAAATACAAAGTTGGTAAAGAAGCCATTCAAAAAGTTCTTATGCTTCTGATGTAAATTTTGGGAAAGGAAAGGATTGAGTTCAAACAATACAAGCAGAATAAGGAAGAAGAGGGGAAAAACAGCAATTGGCAATATCTGGGCTGATAGCCCACAAGATTTAATTAATGTGATCAAACACCATTATTGAGTAGAAGCATCAGTAAATGGATAATTTATTTTTATTTTGGGATGGAGGGGGAGCAAGATGAATCAGATTCTCTTCTATGTATCTTTTTAAGTGACATATTTTGTGAAAACAACAAGGAGTCCGGTGGCACCTTAAAGACTAAGGCCTGGTCTACACTGGCGGGAGGGGGTGTCGATGTAAGATATGCAACTTCAGCTACGGGAATACCGTAGCTGAAGTCAACATATCTTATTCTGACTTACCTCCCGTCCTCACGGCACGGGATCGACGGCCATGGCTCCCCCGTCGACTCCGCTACCGTTGCTCACTCCAGTGGCGTTCCGGAGTTGACGGGGAGCGCATTCGGGGATCGATATATCGCGTCTTAACGAGACACGACATATCGATCCCCGATAAATCGATCGCTACCTGCTGATACGGCGGGTAGTCTGGACGTACCCTAACAGATCTATTTTGGCATAAGCTTTTGTGGGTAAAAAACCTCACTTCTTCAGATGCATGGAGTGAAAGTTACAGATGCAGGCATTATATAATGACAAGAGAAGGGAGTACCTCACAAGTGGAGAACCAGTGTTGACAGGGCCAATTCGATCAGGAGAGACAAAGCTGAATTTTAGTTCTGCTGTTTCTCTTTGAAGTCTGTTGCTGAAGTTTTTTTGTTCAAGAATAGTTACTTTTAAATCGGTTACAGAATGTCCAGGGAGGTTGAAGTGTTCACCTACTGGCTTTTGTACGTTACAATTCCTGGTGTTCAAAAAAAACTTTGCAAATTTAACACCATTAATTTGGGCTTAAATAGGGACTGGGAGCGGCTGGCTCATTACAAAAGCAGCTTTGCCTCTCCTGGAATTGACACCTCCTCATCTATTATTGGTAGTGGACTACATCCACCCTGATCGAATTGGCCCTGTCAACACTGGTTCTCCACTTGTGAGGTACTCCCTTCTCTTGTCATTATATAATGCCTGCATCTGTAACTTTCACTCCATGCATCTGAAGACGTGAGGTTTTTTTACACATGAAAGCTTATGCCTAAATAGATCTGTTAGTCTTTAAGGTGCCACCCAACTTCTTGTTGTTTTTGTGGATACAGACTAACACGGCTACCCCCCGATATTTTGTGAAGTAGTACTTTGACCTGATTGATAGGTGAACCAGCTTATAGTCATACATTCACTGGGATACTCTTACATGAAGTTCCAAACTTCTTTTGACTGTTAGGTGGCAGCATTCATCCAAGCCTTTTTATTATAATGAATTAATGAGGAACCATGACATACCCAATATGACTGGATGTTCTGGAACTCAATTCCAAAGTAGTCGGACTCAACCAGATTCAAATGCTTATAAACCAATGTCAGCAACGTCTGGCCACAGCACTTGGACTGGAAGAGTAAAAATAAGAAGTATAACAAGATTAAGTATAATTCAAATGAGTTTACTATAAAGTGGAAACAAGATGTATTAACTTTTAAAAGCAGTGGGGGGAAAATGTTTCAAAACACTTTTGTATTATTGATCACTAATATTACTGTAGCATTTAAAAGCCCCAACCAGCATTAGGCTCTGTACAAACACACATAACTCAGTGAAAATTACTAGTGGGCATTTCAATAAATTAGCACAAATTTTGCTGTATAACTTGGAGATGCAGGTCCAGATCCTGAGGTGTGCTAGACCTCTAATTCAGTGCACCTGAAGTGGAGAGGAGAGATCATTTTAAACCAGAGCAGCTGGAGGCCAGTTCAGCCCCTGGTCATAAGTTATAATACCTTAAGGCTGTTCTAATTTATAATTGCTTGCAATGGCACAAAGTTGGCTATGCTGAATGAGAATTCACCCTCAACAAGGAAATCCTCAGCTGGCAAACTGAGGCAGCTTTAAGTCCCCCTTGTACTTCCAGAGCAATACAATGGGACTTAGTGGGCCAAAGATATGGCCTCTAATGTATATCTGAAAAGATTCACAGGTTGCTGGTCCACTAATGAGCTGGAGGACCCTCACACGAGTCCCTCACTGACAGAGCTAGAATATGGGCTCTGTGGTGGAGAATCTCAGCTCTCATTTCTAGCTTTTTTTTTTGCAAGGACATCCAGGAAAAAACACAACATGGTTGCTAAGGTCTTAACGTATACACACCTGGGCTCCACTTCTGTGTCAGGAAGCTGCTGGAGTCTAAAGATCTCCATCTCTCTCACATTAGCTGTGTGTGTAAAATTAATTTGCGACATCCCAAAGAATCAGCTCGCTAACTCTCCCCACAATCTTTATATCAATTTTGCACACAGAGACAACAACCATGGATACAAACTGATTATGTTAAGTGGGAGGAAGCAGCAAAAAATTTCATAACCTACCCAAAATGCTAAAGTTGGACCTACTTGTTCAAATTTTCAGCTCTCTCTCTGCTCCCACTATTGCATGACTAGCAGCTAGCTGCCTTTCGTGAATTCCCCCATCAGTCAATGCATCTAGATTGCATGGGGGATGCTCCACATGGTGGGTATAGGGATGAGGAAACTTACAGCTCCAGCAACACAAAAGGAAAGGAGATAAGGAAAGAGACAAGACTAAGCTGAAGCCGTATGGGGCAGAAGTTCTGTAGCCACTGAAAACCCATCTCTCTCACTGAGCTAGGTCTATCATGAGCACCAACTAGGAGAGCTTACATACTCAAAAACCAAATGGAATCTATTCTCCAGTTGAGTATCTAGCTCACTAGCAGAGAGAACCTGACCACATCCAACTAACCATCTCAAAACCAGATACTAGGACGACTTGCCTACCACCACTGCTGCCAGCAGAGGCCACAGTACAAAACATCTGTCACCATCAATGCTGATGGAAGGTAGCCAGGTAGAGGAGCCACCTAAAGGAACCTACATGAGATGGAAGGACAAGGGACAAGCAAGGCAGGGCAAGAAATACTTTTACCTTGGGGAGAGGGGGGAGAATTAGAGAATGATTTTGGGAGTGAGGAAACTATGGAATACATACATTTTTATTTAACAAGATAAGGAGGAAGAGTATGGAACCAATGGATTTTTGGATGGGGCAGGAATGTATTTTACCCTGGGAAATGTATGTATGAATGAATGAGGTGGAACATTTTTGAGGAAGCACTTTGTTCAAATTTTGGCACTGTGCTATCACTGTGTAAAACACTGCAATACAAACTCAACGAGAAATGGAAACTCAAACCACAACCCCGACCCCCCATAAAAAGGTGTTTTCTAGCAAAAACAATTCTAGTTTTTCCCTGCTTATTAATATTTATGTTCAAGATTCGGTGATAATGATCAGTTTCTCCTTCAGTCTAGATTTCAGCAGCTAATTCTGGTACTGTGAAGGAGAACGTCCAATATGCCCTTGATAAAGTATGTTAATTTAGGCTTGGTAGTGAAATTTTCCAGTTGAGTACCCTAAAGGAATTTGTATTGCTCAAAAAAGATTGTGTATACTTGAATGAGTCAAATCTCTGGATGTTCATATGATTTTGGTTAAAAACAAACAAAAGGAAATATTTCTTCACACAATGTACAGTCAACCTGTGGATCTCTTTGCCAGAGGATGTTGTGAAGGCCAAGACTATAACAGGGTTCAAAAAAGAACTAGATAAATTAATGGAGGATAGGTCCATCAATGGCTATTAGCCAGCAGGGGCAGGGATGGTGTCCCTAGCTTCTGTTTGCCAGAAGCTACAAATGAGCAACAGGAAATGGATCACTTGATGATTATCTGTTCTGTTCATTCCCTCTGGGGCACCTGGCATTGGCCACTGTCGGAATACAGGATACTGGGCTAGATGGACCTTTGGTCTGATCCAGTATGGCTGTCCTTATGTTCTTATCCTTATCAGAATGGAAAACATCTTTAAAAGCATATGTTTACTGCCATTTTAATATGTCAATCAATCAATTTTATTTATTGAGTGTATTCTGCATATAAACAATTTTTTCTAAGTAAATAATTTGAAGAATTGTTAAATTATCTGGTTTCTTATACCTCTTCTCTCAATGTCTTGATCAATAAGTTTAATAGGCAACAGGAAGCTAACTTCTATTTAAAAACTGCTAAATTCAAATATAATTACTAATCATAGTAAGGCAGAATACAGAAGATTATAGGTAAAGAATCATGCTGTTTGAATGTTTTCATTTTGAAGTTTGCCCTATTGTAGGAATCCCTCTCCAAAGCGTAGAAAGCACTATCATACTGAAATCTACTCAATTTCAAAACAAAAAAGTGGAAAATGTTCAGGTACTAAACCTGCTTCCTGAGTTCCCCTGTGTTTTTTAAAAACAAATTATCTTCTTTTTTTCCTATTTCCCAAATACTTCTCTCCCTCTCCGCACCTTGTGTGAAAGACATTCACTCACAGGGGGAAAGTGACCAACTTAACTGACTATACAGGGAAACAAAAAAAATTATATAAAGTACTATCAAATTGCTAAAAATGAAAAATATGGAGAAAAATATTTCAATTACAGTAGTCCTGGAGTTACTAGCAACAGTACTAAGTAAAAATTCAGATAGCAATGTGATCTTTAAGTTGACTGTGTCCCCTTTAAATATAAAATGTATCAAAGAATGTTGCATTTACAAAGAGTAGTATTAAGTAATGTGTTGATGAAAATGAGTTACAAAGCTTGGGATCTAACAAAGTATTTCATTATTCTTTGTTTCAAGTTCTGTGGGAATATTTTGCCTGGGAGAATTTGATTTAGTTTCTCAAGTTGTTTGTTGCATTTATCCATTTCCAGTTCTTCTGCCAAGATACAACTCCACCGTTTGACAAGACTCCTAAGTCTTTTGAGTTTATAAATTTCAAAATTAGATTTTGTATTGTCAATTTAATATCAGTTATGCCCGCATAAAAGCTGCACCAGGCAAACATGTTCTATAATGTGCTTAGAATTTTTATAATGTAGGAAACTGTGTATATGAATGAATACTAGATTCTTTAAAGGTCACAAACATTTCAATAGGAATTCCTCATTATGGCACACGTCCATTTGTGAAATTGTCACATTCCCTATGCTCTGCCAACAGTCTACTACAACTGGCATTACAGAATTATTATAGAAGTTCATAAAGATTTCTGTAAAAGAAAAATAAAGTGGCAGGTAGATCAAAGGATATGGTGCTTTAGCTGTAGACACAATTACTTACTTTTAATAATAAAATTCATGTTCCTAAAGGAAATAGAATCAGGACCATAGAGTAAAATTTGTATGAACCTGAATATTCAGTTCCAGCAGCTCCCATTGGCCCAGAGCAGTGAACCGCGGCCACTGGGAGCCGCGATCGGCCAAACCTGCAGACGCGGCAGGTACACAAACCGGCCCGGCCCGCCAGGGGCTTTCCCGGCACAAGCAGCGGAACAAGTTTGGGAACCACTGGTCTAAGGGATAAGCAACAGAAAAGTAGTGTTACGTTTCTCCCACCTCTTTTGGAGCCAGATTACAATTATTTTGGGTTGTGTATTTGTCAGACCCCTATTATTAGTTAAATATTATTCTACCTATATTTTCACTTTCAAAAGTATTCTCTTCCCCGATGAGTCTGAAAGAAAACAACCTGTTTCTAACCTAAACAAAGTACAAACACAAAACATTTAAACCTCCCTCCAAGAGATTAACCTCCGTAGCCTTAACAAATTATTAGGGCTGTTGATTAATCGCAGTTAACTCACACGATTAACTCAAAAAAATTAATCGTGATTAATCGCAGTTTTAATCGCACTGTTAAACAATAGAATACCAATTGAAACTTATTGCATATTTTGGATGATTTTCTCCATTTTCATATATATTGTATTCTGTGTTGTCATTAAAATCAAAGTATATATTATTTTTTATTATAAATGTTTGCACTGTAAAAATGATAAAAAAAATATTTTTTAATTCACCGCATACAAGTATGTAGTGCAATCTCTTTGTCATGAAAATACAACATTTAAAAATGTAGATTAGTCCACTCAGTCCTACTTCTTGTTCAGCCAATCGCTAAGACAAACAAGTTTGTTTACATTTACAGGAGATAAAGCTGCTCTCTTCTTATTTACAATGTCACTAGAAAGTGAGAACAGGCATTTGCATGGCACTTTTGTAGCCGGCACTGCAAGGTATTTACATGCCAGATATGTATGCCCCTTCATGCTTCGACCATCATTGCAGAGGGCATGCTTCCATGCTAATGGTGCTCGTTAAAAAAAAAAATGCATTAAATTAAATGTGACTGAACTCCTTGGGGAGAATTTTATGTCTCCTGCCATGTTTTACCGCATTCTGCCAGATATTTCATGTCCTAGCAGTCTCGAATGATGACTCAGCACATATTGTTCATTTTAAGAACACTGTCCCTGCAGATTTGACAAAATGCA